TTTGTTGCCATTTGCATTGCTTCCTCGCTGGATGGTGGCTTGTCATCAGGAGTTGAATCGATGCCTTGTTTTTTAAAGTTTCGTAGATTTGCGTCTTTCCGACTGCAAGTGTCTGCTGGATGTTTTTAATTTTGTGTCCAGCCTCGCTCAAACGGATGTAATTCACTCGCTCCGCTCCAGTCATTACAGTTCTTCTACGTTTCGATGCCATGATCTACACGATGTAAGTGAATAAAGTTAAAATCTTTCGCAATTGCAGTAAAACGCACGCCAATAAAAAAGTCACTTACACGTCTTCGTTTCGAATCTGATGAATGAAAACGGCGAAGTGAACATGTTTCTTCGGTCGTGTCGAGTGGGTGCTGCTTTTAAGCTAGTGCCGCGTTCTACAGGACGTTAAGTGAATAAAGTTAAAATCATTCACAATTACAGTAAAACGCACGCCAATAAAAACTCACTCACACGTCGTTGTTTCGAATCTGATGATCGAAAAACGCGAAGTGAAAATGTGTCTCAGAAGTCGTGTCTTTCCGTAGCATCGGGTGGGCGTTGCGTGTATTTAAGCTCCTGCAGCATGACGTCTCAATCCGGGTTAGGGTAGTGGAATTTCCGCTTACGTAAATTCCGGTAACATGTAATATCGTAGTCAAAATGTTAATGCATAGGTTTTTGTTCCGGGTGAAGGAAATTCCTTTTCATAGAATTCCGGGAATGGGAATATTTACTGTATATATACATACACACACACACACACACACACACACACACACACACACACACACACACACACACACATATACACATCGTATTTTCCGGACTATAAGTTGCAGTTTTTTTGTAGTTTGGCTGGGGGCACGATTTATACTCAGGAGCGATTTATGGGTGAAATTATTAACACATTATTATATCATTTCACGTTATTTTCACATTAAACCGCAAGAGGCCACTCTAGACCTGTGTGGATAAAACGGATAGAGAAATTGACATTATTGAGCACCGACTAAAAATAGAAGATATGTGTGCAGGAAAGATTGGGAATATCTTGGAGGACACAGAGAGGTGTTTTTAATGTGACCTTTTCAATCGGACATGGAGGTGAATGCAATGACAAATGACACAGGTTCACGGAGACACACCTCTGTTGAGTAGTGCAGTGATTCTAACCAGTGTGCAGTGTTACATTATTGTGCCTTGAGAGAACATCAGGTGTGCCATGGGAAATTATTCAAAATTTCATCGTTTTGCGGCCGAAAATACTTTGATTTGACAGAATTCAATTGTCGAAAGAACTAATGAGCGTGAACAAACCCTGACAGTCCTGAACAATTAACTGGTCTGTCATAAACATTTATCAGCGTTGGCTTTAACCCTTATGCGGTACGTACAGCAGCAGCTTCATGACTTTTTTTTGCCCCCTTATTAGTTGAAGGTCTAGTCTCGTCTAGTCTAGTCTGGATGTCGACTGGGGCCAATTACCTTCCTTATCCAGCCAATTTTTCCGTTGGCGGTAGAGTAACACCTTGTGGTGTACATATGGCAGCAGAAACTTGACACACCAGCTCTCTACTCCCAGCTTGTTCTCCACCACCACGATGGGGCTGCGGTTGTAACGTCCCTCTGGACATGGAATCACACCAATCTCATCACTGGGGAAACAGATAATGGATTTAGGGCTAAAACAACAACACAAGTAAGAATCGTAGACAGTGAATGTTCTGTACACCTTTAAGCCACTATGCCACTGAGCAGCAAACATTTACGATTCTTGACATCGAGAAAAAAAAATGCGCGTTCACGTCAGGGTTAAATCAAGTGCGCAGATATTTGCTACATGTTTGCCAAAAGTTCCTTCGCTAGACGTTAGACAACAGTTTTAACGGGGGGTTCTTGTTGCAAGGAAACCATGAACATCTTCAAAATTCCCTAGTAACAGGAAAATTGCAGGCGAACATGACGAATGTCTGGCACCTGTTTGTGACTTTTAATAAACCCTGAAAAATTCTAAAAAGTGTATGAAATTTAATTTCTTGGATGAGTAGTGGATGCAAACCTATGTTGGAAGCCAAAGTCAAAATTAAAAATATCTAAACCAGTGGTTCTTAACCTTGTTAGAGGGACCAAACCCAACCAGTTCAAGTGCATGTTCATCGAACCTTCATTGGTGAAAAATAAAAATATGATTTTTTTTTTTTACAAATTCAAGATATTAAAAAAACACATTTATTAAAAACTGAAAAAAGTAAATAAAATTACATGCCATATGTTTAGGTTTTTTTAAAATTTTATGACAGTCACACGATGACTACTGAGCGAACTAAATTTCCTGCAGCACTGATTGGACAAGCAATGTAATGTGATCATCTGCAGCCAGCGATGGCCAAGCGGCCGTGTCATCACTAATTGACATGTTGAATCGGGTATGTCTAAACCTCCATGGCAGAGGCTCCGTCGAAGCCCTGAGACCGATTCACCGAAGCACGAGGGTTCAATCGAACCCAGGTTAAGAACCACTGATCTAAACCATTGGGATCATGTTTAAAACCAAGGTTGTGCTGAAGAAGAGGTCATTACACACGTTACATTGTTCATTATTTTTACTATACGTGACCTACTGTGTGAACATATGGGGAAATGCCTATAAAACAAACACAATCGATGTTTTAAAACTGCAGAAAAGAGCACTTCGAATTATGAATCCATCAAAATATACTGAACCAAAGAATCTACTAGTTATCAAATTTAAAACGATGAAATATTATGACTTGGTCAACTTTCAAAATAGCACAATTAATTTACAAAGCACACAATAACCTGCTCTGCCACAATATTCAGAAGCTGTTCTAAATTACAGAGTTGCTATGAGTTCAGGGCACTAGCCACCACAAAAAAATCGAAAACAAGAACAAACATTAAGCTCAGCTCTGTTTCTGTAATAGGTGTTAATTTATGGAATAATTTTGAAACTGACCTGAAAATGTGTGACTCATTTGCTGTATTCAAAAACAGTTTCAAAAGTACCAAAAAAAAAAAAACTATAGATCAGATTTCATTTAGTAAATTGATTAAATGCTGTAATATAACGGATTATATTTAATATGAGTATGAGAGTATAGTGACATATGAATGTGCCAGAGTGTGTACTTACGTAGTCCCTGAACATACCTAAAGTACAAATACACCTACACAGGGGTGTAGTGGGCGTGGTACGCGGGGGTACGCCATCCACCCACTTCTTCTGACGCCACATTCAATTTTTATTGAAATGTTTGTTGATCATTGTTCTAATGCGAGTTATGCTTAATAACGTTGGCCTGTGATTATTTTGGAGTAGTAAAACATTAAATTTAACGTTAGTTCAACTGGTGTCGTAGCCTATGATTGATGTTCTGTATGTATATATAGAACATCCCAGAATCGCGTACACCCACTTAAAAAAATCCCCACTCCACCACTGTACACACATATATATTAAATTGGACCACAAATATACTGGGCCGGCCCTCTTGAAATTGGAATGACTATGACCCGGAAACACTATCCTGGTACACAAAAGTATAAACTGTCATACTGTATAGGGGAGTCGTTTATACAGTTGTGGCACATCACTAATTCTGTCATACTTATTAATTGTTGATTGGTACCGTAGAACCTCCGCTGGCATTCAAACTTGTAACGCATATATCTATTTAAAATAGCACTGTAATAAAAACGACATTTTAAAATACAATGTTAATCTAACAGGTCCGAGCAACAGCGATTCTCGATCAACGGGCGATCGCACCGTTCAAAACAACAATGCCTCATCCTTTTACATGGTTAAACTGAATAGAATACTTACTGAGGAGCCAATAAGCAGCCAAAGAGAAACAAGAAACTTTGCTTGTTGCTCTCACATTCCAGAATACAATCCAGGCACACAAATAAACTGCTGGTCAACAGCGACGACGGAGTATTATAGGCGCATGACAGACGCAATTTCGGTCAGTAAATGTCACAGACAGACACACTTACATGTTAGGGTTCCTCTTAAATGCATTAGTAATATCTTTAACTACTCTTTGGACCAAGACATCCAGCTCTGACTGCGACTCCGCCATTTTAGGTCACCATATGACGTTGGGTTGTATACACTACTGTTTCCGGGTCAAATGACGGTTGATGGTTTTCCACGTCACCCGGTCAAACCAAAGAGCTCAAAGTATGGCTGTGTTTCAACTACTGTGTATCGATTCAAAGAATATCTCTTTATCATCAGACGTATATGACCAGACTCGCATTATAATGGTGCACCGGGAAACATCCTAAGCAACTAGACAAAACCTAGTTGTACTTCGGTTGCCACGGAATGGCGTTGTAATAAAATTACGTTTACATGTTTATTCGTCCATCCATTCGTACATTTTCGAGAACGACTTTCCTTGTTTAGGATCATATCGCAGCTGACTGGTGTGTCTTGGGTCCACCCTTAATTAAGTTCGTGCGTAAAATTTAAAATAGTAGTTGCTTTGCATGCAACATTGAACTTCAAACTTCCATAACGTTCTTAATCTTTATTCTATTTACAGATTGTTATCATTGCACAGATCGCTAAACATGTCGATACATGCAGTCAAAAACCATTTCAATAAGAAAACCTTTATTATTCTCGCAATGGAGAAATTCCCAATTCACAGCAGCAAAGTTATGAAAGGAAGAAGTAGAACAAATAAATATAGGAGCTGCTGGAATATGTACAATACAATACCGAGTAAGCTCATATTCCGGTTTTTAAAAATCTGAAAAATACTCTCATGAGTTACTTATTTTCTAACCTGAATATTTGGTCAAATAAACAGTATCGGAATGTACGGAGGCCCTCTAGTGCCAAGGTATGAGAAGAGAAAAACACTTTTAGCTCATCTGGTCCCTCAAAAATGTACATTAGGAACCTCTACTTAGGAACGACTCTTCATACGAAATTTTCAAATTACGAAACGTCTTAACAGGAAACTATTGGCTGTTGTTACGAGAGAAATTTCAAGATATGAAAGGTAAAAATACAGTATTGTCGGACGCTCGCAGCTCCGAGTTTCCTGAACGCAACATACTCATAGCTGCTCTGCCATTGGCTATTACCGAGTATCATCCTGTTATCCCATTGGCTAAGAAGGACTTCTACCGAATGTGTCTCGTGTCTGCTGTAGAGACATACTGTACACATTGTACAGTATGTCTCTACAGCAGGGGTGTCAAAACTCATTTCACATTGTGAGCCACATACGGCCTTGGTAGATATCAAGTGGGCTGGAGCATTAAAATTATACCATACGTTGCTATAAATCATGAAAATATCATGTCTTTCCTCCTCACAGTTCAATATAAGTGCAATATATATATAGATACCTGTATATACAGTATATATATCAGTGGCGGACCCTGAGGGCCAGCAAGGCCTTCTCTGCTGGCCTAAACATTCTCAGAAAAGTAAATTTACTTTTATGTATTTTATGTTATTTTATAATTTATGTTATTTTATTTTCATAAATATGTAAAAAAAATTCTCTGTATTCTTTACATCATATTATTTCCAGTAAGTTGAGTGGCTGTTATTTTAAATAACATTGAAAGCCACTCGATAAATAACGTATTTATTATGGTAGAGTTTTTAACGAATCATATTTCAGATAGCTTGCGTTGCCAGGTAAATTAAACTTGCTCGGGGCCTTCAGATTAAACAGAGCAGGCCCCTGT